GCCCATTGGCCCACGGTTGGCTCTCCTCACGCTGGCAACTCTTCCTGACAATGCCATGGGCAGAGGTGGAGGGGGGGGGGAGCCTGAGAGGCAAGCATAAATGCTTTGGAACTGCAGCTTCACTGGCTGGGAGGATGAGAGGAACCCCGTAGGAAAGTTACCCCAACACTGGCTTGCTCCTTGGTAGCTCACCCAAAGTGTCTTCCTCTTGCTTCATTTTAACACACAGCTGACAATTCCACTAAATGGATGTTGGTTGCAGCTTTTTAAAAATGTAAATCTCTTGACGCACTAAGGACTCTTAGGTATTCTTAAACATGAAATTCGTGTAAGACACATACCATTTAACAGCTGCGGTGGCGGCCCTGAGCGAACAGCAGTTCTGGCCGGCAGGGGAGACGGAGATTGTGAAACCTGGAGCACTTTGGGACATGACAGGACAGAGAAATAACATTGTGGCAGAATTAAAACAATACAAAGTCCCGAGTCCGTAGGAGCCAGGGAAGCTGGGCACCCCAACATGGAAAAGGTGTGCGAGAGAGAATGGGAAGGCACCGCCCCCAAATCCCACTGACTTCAGATTTAACTTGGAGTTGGCACAATGTCCAAAGCAGAAGAACATTCCCTTCCTCCTTCTCCTTAACCCCGGGGGCCTCATTCCGTAAATATTTATTGAGTATCTGCTGTCTTGACTGTGACCATGTATCGGACACCTCCTTTGTTTCCAGTTTTATGACTCCACGGGTGTGACGAGGTTGGATGAAATGCCGTCCCTGCCCCAATAGACCCTGATGTCCAGTTGGCAAGACAGACCAGGGAGCCCACGCTTGTACAGTTTAGTAAACACTACTGGGGGGGCATCTGAGTTAGGCAGGCAGAGCCTCGCTTGAGGCCCCTGACTTCAGACCTGTGTTGTTAGTTCTCCAGTTCACAACAGTGATCTGCTGAAGGAGGTGCTAATTCTTACATACATGGCAGCCCCCTTATCCATGGGGGATACGCTCCAAGCATTGAATGGATGGATGCTTGAGATCACCGAGAGGACCGAGCCCTCTACATGTATGGTTTTTCCTATTGTACACACCTATGATAAGGTTAGTGCATAAATTAGGCACAGTGGAAGATTAACAATAACTAGTGATAAAGTGGGGCGATTCTAACAACATACTGTAACAAAACATGTGAATGTTCTCTCTCCCCCTCTCTCAGAATATCTTCGTGTACTGCACACACCTTGCCCCTAAAGCAAGCACTGAGCCGCAGCACGGCTCTGGCACTTTGGGTCATTAGGAAGTGAAACAAGAGTGACTGGAGCACAGCACAGCGATGCCTCCCTGCTGAGTGGCCCCGGGGCGGGGGTCTGCAGGGGGACACCTGGACCAAGGTTGATCCCGTCCAGGTGACCCAGAGCAGGACTCGTGAGATTTCATCACTCCCCTCAGCAGGGCGCCCAGTTGAAAACTGGCCCAGAGCATATGTTCTCAGATGCTACCCCACACTGTCACTGAAACAAAAAGTAGGTGTGTGGGAGCCATTAGGAAATGTAAGCACCACTTACAACTTTTTTCCCCCTCTAATACAGTAAATGTGGAGTCCCAAACTTCTAACTCAGGAAGCAATTTTCAAAGTACTTGTTTTAGGTTAGAAAGCTGCCTGGACCAGCTTGCTCTGTACAAGGATTACAAGCGTTAGTAATGCTGTTTATAGGACACTGTAAACTGTGTGAGAGGCACTGGACTGAATTACTCCATAATAGTAAGTAGAGGGATCCTCTGTTTTCAGGTTTAATTGTTCTGATATGCAGCATTTCCCATCTTACTAGTTTATGTTGCTAAGAACATTAATTACTTAAGTTTACCTTAAAAAGCAAAGAATCAAGATGATAAGAAGACAGCCCTGGCCCATGTGGGTCAGTAGTTAGAGCATCAGCCCAAGGATTGAAGGGTTGTGGGTTCAATTCTGATCAAGGCCACCTACCTCAGTTGCAGGCTCGATCCCTGTCCACTCTTCCCTCCCTCCCTTCCTCTGAGAAGCATTGGGAAAAATCTCCTCAGGTGAGGATTAACAACAACAACAAAAAAGCAGAGGCTCAAGAGGATAAGAAGATAAGCCACAGACTAGGAGAAAATCCTCCTATAATAAAAGGCAATATGCAAATCGACCAAGCGGTGGAATGACTGTTTGCTATGATGTGCACTGACCACCAGGGGGCAGCCACTCAATGCAGGAGCTGCCCACAGGAGGAGCCCCACTCAGCCTGGTGGCAGGAGCCTCTCTCGCCTCCACAGCAGCGCTAAGCATGTGCCACTGCTGGTTTAGGCCTGAGAGAGAGAGAGAGAGAGAGAGAGAGAGAGAGAGAGAGAGAGAGAGAGAGAGAGAGTACTGTTATTCAAATTATTCAAAGAACTCTTAAAACTCAGTTAATAAACAACCAACCACATTGGGTCCTGGGTTCAATTCCGATCAAGAGCACATACCTTGTTTGTATCTCCTCCCTGGCCCAGGCCCTGGTTGGGACTCGTGCAGGAGGCAACCAATTGATGTATTTCTTTCACATCAATGTATCTGTCTTTCCCTCTCTCCTCCACTCTCTCTATAAAAATTAAATAAATCAATTCAGTGTTATGAGCTGAACTGTGCCATCCACTCGCTTGCAAACTCATGTGTTGAAGTCCTCAGAATGTGATTATACTTGGAAATGGGGCCTTGGAAAGGGTAAGTTAAAAATAAGGTCATGTTGTGGGCCCTAACCCCATATGACAGGTGTCCTTATAAGAAAATAAGACGGGGACACAGACACAGAGGGAAGGCCGAGCAAGGGACAGAGAGTAGCCATCTACAAGTGAAGCAGAGAGGCCTCGGAAGAAACCGGCCCTACTACCATTTGGATCCAGGACTCCCAGCCTCCGGAATTGTTAGAAAACAATTCTGTCATTTAAGCCAACCAGCCTGTGATGCTTGTTATGGCAGCCCCAGCAACTGGTCCAGCGTGCAGGGGGAGACCCCGTGGCTGCAGGCTTCCTCGCAGAGCAGCTTGTCAACTTATTAACATAGAACCTGTAGCCTCCCCGAATCCACTCAGCAGACGTGTACTGAGCATGTGCTAAGCATGTGCTGCACATCACATTATCAGATGCTGAGCTAATAATGTCAAAGGCAAGAAAATGAGCCCCCAACTAGCTGGAAGGAAATAAGGTTCCGAACCATCCTCATGGAGGTCACAGCCTGAAGAGGAGCCAGACACATAGGGTCATTTCAATACCATGTGGCCAGTCAACACAGTGAGGACCAGGGGCCACGTGAACTCCACTGACACATCGAGGGGTGTCAGCTGAGAGCACGTGGCATCTGGGCCTTTAGGGAAAGCAGAACTGTGCAGGTGGAGGCCGGAAGAGAGAGTAACATGAATGCCACAGACAAAGGCAGGGGTGTGGGGAAGCATCCAGAAGGCCAGGCAATGAGTGAAAGGCTCGGAGACCAAAGTTAGGATGTGGAATTTGGGAGGATGGGAGAGGAGATGGAGAATGAGGTCAGACCAGGAGTGCTGGGAGGCCAAATATGGATGTCAACCTGAGCTGTTTCCAGAGGAAAGTCAGGATCAGAGGAGCTGGAGTGTGGCCTCGGAGCAGTGGGGAGAAGGAAGGGCACAGAGAGGCGGGTTGGGGGCAATGGGAGCCAGAACTGAGCACAGTCTTGCTTTAGAGATATTAGGGTAGGGGTGAGGGGAGTGCCCCTGGGGAAACATGCTTCCTCTGTAAGGTACCAGATGTGTTGTTTTCTTCTCTATCAGGCGGTAAATTACATTGCTTCCTGAAGCACACAGACTCATTAGCATCTGAATAAAACACACAATGTTCCAGTTACTTTAAAGGAATTAAGTTTTGTTTAAATTTGGAAGAACTGCTCTTCAAAAAAATACGGTAAAATTGGCCACAATGAAAAATGAGTATCTTCTTATTTCATCACAGCACGTCTGGTATGTCTGTGAGTCTTCCAAGTTGGACTTGCTGGAGAGCTGCCTACTCGAGGCAACAGGAACTTTGCAAAACTGGGTCTAGTCTGAGTCTCCCCACCAGCTGCCTTGTTTGTTTCCTCAGTCTCTCTAGGCCTCTGTTTCCTTATTTCTAGAATGAGGATAAGTTCCTTGATCCTTAAGACTCCTTCGGACTAAAATGCCACGAGTCTTTTCTTCTAGAATAAATACTGTTCTTGTATTTTAAAATGCTTTATTTTTTGGTTTGGTTTTAAAAGGACTTTAAATTTTGCTGGAAAATCTTCATCGGAAAGTATAGATAATCCTGTCACATGCCTCTGAGATTCATTAAAAACAAAAACACACAAAAAACACCCACAACCCAAAGCATCGTGCACATTGAAAACACATATTGCCACTCCCGGGTCCAGAGGCCCTCGGACATGCACTTGAACTCTGCGGGTTCCACTGAGGAGCACGGAAAAGTGCGCTCCATAGTCGATGGGCGAACAGGCTGCAGGACAATGAGCCGCTCGCCAGCCGATTTCTGTCCTCCCTGTATCTGCAGGGGAGGCTGTGGAGCCTCTGGAAGGGGTGGCGGGGGCGTTTCTCTGACCTCCTGCCTCCCCACCTGCTGGCCGGCTCCTCTCCAGCGCCCAGGAGGAGGAGTCGCTCCCCCGCCCCTCCAGCTCCCTGGCCCCGAGCGCCGCTCCATCCCAGCGAGCGATGCTGTCGGAGCCGGCGCGGGCGGCGGAGCAGGCAGCCCCGGCGCCCCGCTCGGCCCCGGGCTGAGCCCTCGCAGCCGCCGCCGCCGCCGAAACTGCAGCCGCGGCGGGTGGATGGTGGGCGGCAGCCTGGACTCCGGTCTCCGGCCGCCGGGCGCCGGGCCGCGCCGCGGTCTCCTCCTCGCTCCGCGTCCGGGGCTGCGCGGGGCGCGGGGGGCGGGCGGGGGGCGCGGCGGGGGGACGGCGCGGCGAAGGCGGAGGCCGGCGGCTGGCGTTCCCCCGCTCGAAGCGCGGCCGGCGCGATGTCCACCAAGGTCAAGAGGCGCAAGGAGCAGGCGAGGGTGACCTTCCCTGCGCCCGAGGAGGAGGAGGAGGAGGAGGAGGAGGAGGAGGAGGAGGAGGAGGAGGCGGAGGAGGAGGAGGACGACGACGACGACGCGGGCGCCGAGCCGCAGCGCCGCCGGCGCGGCTGGAGGGGCGTCAACGGGGGGCTGGAGCTGCGCTCGGCGCCCTCGTCGCCGGAACCGCACGGCCGCCGCCCGCCGCCCTGGTCGCCGGAGCCCGATCCGTAAGTGCCGGCCGCGGCGGCCCGGAGGGAGGCGCCCGCGCCATCCCGACGGGCCCGGGACCTCAGGCCGCCGGCTCGGGGCCGCTCCCCGGGGCACTCCCGGGGCGCGCACGGCTCGGGGGGCCCCGTCCCGGCCGCAGCGCGCGGACCTGCCCGGAGCCGGCCCCGCGGACGCCGGCGGTTCTCGCCGGGGCCGCTCCCTTTCCGCAGCGGAGCGCCGGGCGCCGGGGCCGCCGGGGGGCGGGGGGGCAGGTGCGCTCTGACCGGGGCGCGCCTCCGGCTCGTCCCTCGTCCCGGCGTGAGCCACGGGGATCGCGGGTCCCCTCGGAGGCTCGGCCGTCGGGGCGGAGGGAGGGGACCGTATGGATGGAGAGTGGTGGACGGTGTGCCCGGCCCGGGCTTCTCGACGGCCCGCTCCCAGGGAGCCTGCAGCCCGAGCGCGGCCCCGGCGGGCGGCGGAGACTGGGCTGCCCCGGGCGGCGGGGTCCGCAGCGGCGCCTCCCGGAGGCGGCGGAGGGCGGCGCTCAGCGTGAGAGCAACTTCGCCTCATGCCCGGGTCTTCGAGGCGCAGAGAGTGAGAGCGCGCGACTCCTTTTACAGGCTCCCAGCTCTGCTGTCACGTTCCCTGGGCGTGTCGCGGGGTTACTGTCTTTTTAGGAAGAACCTCAGGTCTAGGTGGGAAGCGAGGGTCCGAGGGCCGCGGCCCTGCCCGCCCGGGTCCGGGCCGCGGCCCGAGGAGGTGGTTCTGCAGCGCCTCCTGCTGCCGAGGGCGCCCGGCTGCCCGATCTCGGCCCCTGGGGCCACCAGGACCCACCAGCCACCCTAGAAGCAGGACATCAGAGCTGGCAGCAGGTGCCAGGGAAGGCTGCTGCTTTAAGCGAGCGCCTGCTCCGATGTGTTCAGTTGTTGCTGAAGATGGGCCTGCAGTGGACGCGGGCGGCCTAGGAAGTGGAGGGAAGTCCTGGGATCCGTTGGGATTCAAGCGCCGCCAGCTCCCCTCCCTGCCTCCCTGTGGTTTTAGACATTTTTCCTTTTGTCCATTTGAGTTTTAGAACCCTGCTCAATTTCTTGATTCTTTAAAACTAAATTGGACACCAAGTAGAGCACTCTTAGCAGAGAAAGTGTAGCCGAACAGATTCTCACTCTGCCTTTCCATGTTGGGGGTCGATAACCCGAGCACCAGGCAAGCGCCGCTGCAGACCGACTGTCGAACTGCTAATGGAACATCTTCTATCTGCGGGGCGTTTAGTACTCAGCTCAACAAGCAATGTTGTGCTGTGCATATTCATCTAAAGCGGGTGGGAAGACGGGGTCATTTTAGGGAGATAGACATTAAGAAACATTTGTTCTGGAGGCAGGGCAGCCAGCTCTCCGTGTTTATTTGAGGCCTGTGACTGGGTAACGTCAGAGCGGACGTTGATATCTCCAGCAGAGATTAGCTCTTTATTCTAACTGAGTAGAACATGCCCAGTTTCAGAGCTCAGGGAACAAACAAGCCCTAGGATGGAATCAGAGCAGGGTGGCCCTAGGTCACCCTCCGGAGGCAGAATAGAAGGGCTGCTGAGGGTGGAACCACTTCCACCAAGAAGACTCCTCGGGGCAATCCTGGGGTTCATTTCGCTGTCCATGCCCCAGGAGGCTATTTGGAATTTAAAAATATATATATTTAATTGATTTCAGAGAGGAAGGGAGAGGGAGAGAGAGACAGAAACATCAATGATGAGAGAGAATCATTGACCGACTGCCCCTGCATGACCCCCACTGGGGATGGAGCCCACAACCTAGGCATGTGCCCTGACTGGGAATTGAACTCCTACCTCCTAGTTCATAGGTCGATGCCCAATCACTGAGCCATGCTGGCTGGGCTGTTTGGAAATTCTAAACACACTTATTTAGCAGGTAGAATGACATCTGTTATATCACTAACAAGACTTTTTTTAAAAAAAAACTTTGATAGAATTCTTGCTTCAACCAGCGATTCAAATGGAAACTTCCTTTATCTTAATTATTTGCCAAGCTAGGGCCAAGTAATATATCATTAGCAAGATGACCTCATTCCCTAAATCTATTTGGTTGTAATATATTTGATAAACTCCAAAAAGGCATATGAAGGCATCCTCATGAATTTCAATTCAAAGTTATTTCTTAAGCATTTTTATGTGCAAAGTGCAAGCTAAGTACAGCAAGCCACAAAGATGACTATGACAACTTGTGTGCAGTCAAGAAAGAAATTTAAAGTCTCATGAGGGAGAGGTAGAAATAAAGCTGGCCATAAGCAATGATGCTATAAGTTAGAGTAGAATGAGCAACATAAACACACAACATGCACAAGGATAGAGCTATGTAGGGTCAAGTGCAAAGGAGAAATGGACAACTTAAGGTTGTGGAGAAATTGAGGAAACCTTTGTGGGCCTTAGAAGATTGCCTGGCAGTGTTGTCCAGTGGTTGAGCCTCACACATAAACCAGGAGGTCACAATGAGATTCCTGGTCAGGGCACGTGCCCCAGTTTCAGCTGGATCCCTAGTACAGAGTGTGTAGGAAGCAGCCAATCAATGATTCTCTCTCACCATTGGTGTTTACATTCCTCTCTCCCTGTCCTTTCTTCTCTCTGAAATCAATAAAAACATTTTATTTTATTTTTTTAAAATATATTTTATTGATTTTTCACAGAGAGGAAGAGAGGGGGATAGATAGTTAGAAACATCGATGAGAGAGAATCATCGATCAGCTGCCTCTTGCACACCTCCTACTGGGGATGTGCCCGCAACTCAGGTACATGCCCTTGACCGGCCGACGCTCTATCCACTGAGCCAAACTGGTCCCGGCAATAAAAACATATTTTAGAAAAAGATGCATAGGCTATGAGGCAGAGACAGAATGGATAATTATAATACTTCAAGCCTTCTCTCTTCCCCAAATGCCAGGCATGTCTAGGGAATTTATTAGAGTTTGGTTGGAACATAGATATGTGTAGGAAAACTGTGAGATGTAGCTGGACGTGCTGGTTTGGGACATTAATGTGAAGGATCCGAATGCCAGAAACAAGCAATAGGAAGTTATTGATTGTTTCAAAGCAGCAGCAATTTGATCAAAGCCACTCTGAGAGCAGGATGGATTGAAGCAGCAATTGGCAGACTGTGAAATAAATTAGGGGCTATTGTGGCTATCCAGGCTGAGTTTAGAGTCTGTAACTGTGTGGTGCTGATGGGATGGAAAGAGGAGAGATTAGTAGGGAGAATACAGGTAGAATCTTTGGGAATTTGCAGCTAACTGCTTTCTCCTTGGTTTATAGAAAAGCTGGGTCAGAGAGGACTTGGTGATTTAAACCTAGATAACTAAGAGATTATTAATGTTATTGTTGAAAAGAAAAGAACAAAGGAGGGTTTGTAAACAGAAAGATGGAAATGCAAGTTTAAAGCTCAGAGAATCTGAGAGTCTACTTAGTATCTGAATGGAATGGTTACAGAGTATGTGGTGTCACCAAAGAAATGTGATGGAAAAACAAAGGGAGTCTAGGCTCTCTTATCTCAGGGAAAATATTTTATGAGAGGAGAGAGAGAGAGAGAGAGAGAGAGAGAGAGAATGATGAAGAGGTTGGTAGTACCAAGGCCAGGCTGCCTAGAGAGAGAAGAGTTTCAAGAAAAGGGAGGAATTGACCCACAGTTGTCAAATACTCGATAAACCAAGAGGGGAACTTAGGAGTCTGCTCTGGAAGAAGGATCGGTCCTGTGGTGGCACAGGGGCACAGACCTTAGGTCTCTGCAGTGCTGTGTTCACGGAGAAAGACATCTAGTAGAGAGAATTCCGTTTAATCTTTCTTTGGAGGAAGTGCTTTCCTAATAAAAGCAGTAATTTGTGTTTATATCATGCTTCAGGCTGTCATTTATACTCACTAACTTGAGCACACCTCTTTAAAGCAGGTTTTATCATCTGGAAAGGAGAACATTTGTACACAGAGAATAAAGTCATGTTCTAAGGGTCACTAGGCAGACGAACAGCTTCTGCATTAAATATTATATAGTCGTCATGCTGGCCCTGGGAGCTCTGCACTTGCCTGTCCTACAACTTTGCTTCCTTTGACCAACATCTCCTCACAGTTCCTACACTCGAGCCACCGATCTGCTCTGTCCCCGGGTACCTGATGCTTTCAGAGTCTACACGTGGGTGAGATCACACAGTTTTCCTTCCGTGTGTCTGGCTTATTTCACGCTGCATAATGTCGTTCAGGTCTATCTGCGTTGTCACCAATGGCAGGGTTCCCTTTGTTGAGCTGAATAATATTCCAGTGTGATTTAGATACATTTGTCAGTTTCTCTGTCCATTCATCTATCAATGAACATGTAGGTTGTTTTCATATCTTGAATCTTGGCTATATGCTGAGAGTAGATTTCAGATGCTCTCCTCAAAAAAAGAAAAAGAAAAAAAACTTTGTGAGAAGGTGGGTATGTTAATAACCTCTTTCACTATGTATATCGAATCATCATATTTTACACCTGACATTCAATTTTTATTTAAAAAAATTTTTTTTAAGTAAAGTCGCAGAGTGATTAAAAGGTTAAAATAATAAGCTCAGTTCTGTGTGACTGGGGAGTGAAGATGAGTGCTCTCGGCCCTGTCACCCAGAGGATCTCGTTGGCTGGATCTCAATGTCCAGGTCCAGGCTTGGCTTGGCTGCGGGATTAGAGCAGGGGGTGTGTGGCTTGGCATCATATCAAAGTAGCATCTTCCTCCCACCTCTATATAATATAGAGTTGTTATTTTTGTTGGTTGCTTTAAGTTATTCTATGTACTATCGAAGTAATCCATGAATATTGTTTTGTATGGTAGCTAATAAGAGGGCTTAAAGAACAGTAGCTCCTCGCCCTCTCCCCCTTCTCCCCCACCTCCAGTTTCCTGGTTCTCTTCCTGCCCACTTTCAGCTCCTTCAACTACTACCCCCTGGCTAGTCATATACTTTAGATGTTAGCAGTAGTCTCAGATGGTGGTTTCACTCACTCAT